CTGTGAAGATTAACAAATGCAAGCTCATAAAGTTAAACTAAGCGCTTGTTCGCCATTTTTTTCACAGTGTATTGAAATGAAATCCCCATCAGCACACTCTAGTTATCCTTAAAGGGTTTCTCTAAAAGATCTAAGAGCAGTTTTTAACTTTATGTACCATGGGGAGGTAAATGTGGTACAAGAAGATCTCAATTCATTTCTCGAGATCGCAGAAGATCATAGAGTCAATGGCTTAACTAAAATAATTCACCCAGTTCAAATTCCCAGCCAAAATCTAAATCAGAATCTAGAAGCAAATCCAGACCTAGACAGCAAAGTAGTGGGAACACAACTCCACCCCCAAACATTTCCGCCCTGACCCTCCATCAGGAGTGGCAGAAACTGATGACGATATCAAGGAGGTTGAGGAGGTTGTACCTGTCAAGGCAGAGCCCATTGTATCCATGACGGATCCAGGGATGATGGCAATGTACGAGGACGGTACAACGGCAGAACAATGATGCTGGATAAGAATAATTTCGAACAAGTACGGACAGGACTATGACCAAGACGAATATATCGAGCAGAACTTAAAGGGTGGCGGGACAGGACTTACCTACAGGAAAGTCAGTGTAAGATATGTTTAAAATTCTATCATCAAACCAGTCTTCTTAGACATAAACAAAATCAGCACAGTGAACAACTCCCACCGGCCTACTGTTCATATTGTCAGGTCACATTCAAGAAGAGGATTTTTCTCAAGGATAATCAGAGACGGAAGCATAATCTTTACCAGTGAAACAATCCTATAGGGAGAGATAGCTTAATTTGAAGTTACCCCCTGCCTTTGGTTTATAATCATTGTATGAAGGAAGTTCCCTAACTCATGGTTTCCAAAATGTGGTTGATCATTACTAGAATTACAAATTAATGTCATGTAGAGAGAAGAATATTTAATTTACAATGTTACAGTTTATTGGGACAACATGTACATATCTCTAGTTATTATTGATCCTAAATTGGTTTCTCAAAACCATTCAATCTTGTTAAACAACTCATTGTACAAGAGCTAATTTCCAATAAAAAATCCAGATATTTTATTTAAACAGACTACTTAAACTAAAACTAGGAGACCTGGAAGTTCTGGAAGACCTATACAGTGCACACTACTTTAACCTATTTATTTATTTAAAAGGTCAAGACTAGGAGATCTGGAAGTTTAAATGTGCATTCAGTTTGGTGTACATGGATAACAATTTTATGTTCTGTAGGGTTGTGTGCAGCTTGCCACAAGCTTTATCTTTCTTAGGTTACTTGAGTGGTGATACTTAGAACTACTGGTAGGAGTATGATAAGGATAGCAGGAGTGGCACACACCAATCTAGAAGTCAAGTCATCATCCATAGAAAGTGATTAAGTCTTTCCATACACCCTGGACTTGGCACAATAGTCAAGAGGATTAAATTTAGGTCCATGCCCAGAAATTTTTTAGATTCTCCTAATGTTTAAGCATCCTTAATTTCAGCAGGCAGTGCATTCCAAGAGTTTACCACCCTGTAACAGAATAAATGTAGTCCTGGATCCTTTTGTGATCAGGTTGTACTAATGGCAGGTCAGCCTTGTGAGTCTGGTCCAACCAAATCAAACCAAATCTCTCTGTTGTCATTGTCATAGCCTTTAATAATCTTAAAGGTTTGCACTAGATCAAATCTAAACCAACAACATCAAACCCAGTTTCTCCAGTTTCTCATCATGTGATTTTCCCTGCAGACCTGAAATTAGATTTACAGCATGTTTCTGCACATTCCGAGATGTCAATATCACCCTGTGACCAGGTTGAGGTGACCATGCTGTGATTGAACAAACTGTATAATTAACTTAAGAAAAGTATTCCTGTCTTGATAAAGAAAAGTTCTAGTAATTTGAACAAGTATACAGGATGCTCGTCTTGAGGCCTTAGCACACTCGAATGATAAAGAATTTCTCTACACTAATTGCACATACAAGATTCAGTCTGAATCCCCCAGTCACAGAAAGGGTTATCTTCCCTTACACAGGGGCGCAATTCTTTATTTCTGTAGGTAGGGAAAATAAAGATAGATTCAGCTCTTTTTTTCATTTGTATTATGAATTAAATTTANATTCGATATACATCTAATATATGCCTGGAAGAGTCTGTTGAATCTGCCAAGGTTTTGTTCTATTAATGATTCCTTCATGCAGGCGAACCCGGATGAAAGGCTTCTTGGAACCTGAGTTGGCTGTAACCACAGGTTGATATCCCTCCTTGGAGCTAGGATTTTTAGGTTAAATGCGACAGTCTGTTCTTTGGTTTTCTGTTTAATTTGTTGAATTATTCAATAGTTAGTCGCTCAATTGTGTCTTTACCTTATTGGTTGTATTCTTTCCCATTGCAAATTCTCAAAATATACTATAAATAATTATAACAAGATCTCCTCCAGAGTAGCCCATTGTCTGGTTAATATCAAATCTTCATTCATTCCCTCTAGAGAAGCCCCTTGTTTGGTTAGTATCATTTCTTCATTCTCTATGTACCCAGTTATGGTGAAAAATCTACCACCTGTCTCTATCTCCATCCTCACAGATGTTGTACTCTGATCAGCCATCTCTCCATAATCTGATGAATTTTCCTGGCTCTATCACATAGCTCAACCTGTCCCACTACATATTGCCCCAGGAATCTTATGAGGATTACGTTTTTTAGCACCCCTTTTTTTGTAGTTTGTGTCTATATGAGCTAGTGTCTCTTGATCCACCACTGGATTATGAGAGCTTCACTGTGCTGCTCATACTGACCTAGTTGCGGACACCATGGACACTTTTTACACTGTTTACCGAATTTGTATTTCATTCTATTGCCCAGCCCCATATTTCCTGATCTTGCCTTGCACAAAATCTTGCTGTTCCTTAGGTCATCAACATGCCTTTGAAGTGTAAACCACTCTCAAGCAGGGTTTTTCATGAAGTACTGATCGAATTGCCGCATCACCAATTATTGCCTGTTTCAATTGTTTTAAACCAAGATTTGCAATCTTGTCCTCGATGGCTGCTTCTATATCCAGTATATCCTTAATCCAGTTGTCAGTCATTCTCCTGTTCTATAGTTCTTCAACCCATCCAAAACCCTATCTTGTTTCTTGTTCCCCAGTTTCCAATAGTAGCATGCATTTCTGGTCCATTGATTATTTTGTTTGGCATTAATTCTGCCTCAGACCATGTTGATACCCTTGGTGTAGAACCTGGCACCTGAAGTATAAAATTCCCAATCATAGTCTGGAATGCCTCTATTTTATTAAATGTGTTCTTGCTCAGGCTCATTGCCTTGGCCCCATACAAGATGGCCAGAATGGCACAAGTTTCCCACAAGATTACTGAAAGTGATTATCAGTGCTCTATTCAAGTCAAATTCCTTTCTAGTAAGTTTGTCTTTTCCCTAAAATCATAAATCATAAAATTGTATAAATTTCATAATTGATATCTCAAAATAATTATGTTTATCTAGAATGCTCAAAAAGGAATAAGTAGCAATTTTTAGTTCCTTCGTTAACCAGGTTTATGGTTATTCTTACATACTGAGTTTAACTATCTCCAAACTCCTACATACAGAGCTTTCAACTCACCTGACAGTGAGTTAAAAATTTCAGTATTTCATTGATTCAATACATTTATAATTTTACATTAATCACAAATTTAAATTGGCACCATTGAGTAAAAAACAGAATTAATGAATTACACTGAATTTTAAGGTAATTCAGAAAATTTGTGATTAATTGGAATGGTAATATGTTCTCAATATCCTCCTTGTTAATGGTTTTTATCTTAATATGTCAAATTCTTGATAAGCTGAGATCAATATAAACATAGATGCTCCTCTCCAGTCTTGCTGCTCAACTAGACTTTACTGAAATAAACTCTTCTTTAAAATTTAGTTCAGGTACACAATAAAATAATAAAACATTTCATATATATGTCACCAATAGCCCGGCCAAAATGGCTGGACTGATTGGGCTAACATTATTGTGGACACTCAGGCTGGGGGATGTTTTAGGCAACAAAAAAAATCGAAATTTTTTTTCAACTTTTTTTTCACAGACAGTGCAGGGCCCTTCAGCTATTAAATAATAAAAAATTGAAAATGTTATGGATAAGAGCAAGAACAAATACATTATGAAACAGGTAAGTTAAAAGAATAAATATTCTATTCAATACTTATGCAAAATTTGTCATGTTTTCGCCAATGAAGAGTATGATGGCCAAAGCACTACAATTTGTGGATAAACAAAAATTACTGAATAAAGCAGCCAAGAAATTGGCAAAACCTCTTTAAATGGTGATCAGGGAATAAAATGCCATTAAATGGTAAATGTCTGAAAAAAGATATACTTACAAATAATGTGGCAAGCATAAAATTTCTGACTTTATATAACTATGAAATACAAACTTAACATTTTGACACAAATTTGTACCAGTTTTGATTACCAGATGTGAAAATAAACAACAATTTTAATGGTCTACTTTTCCATATCTAAGGTGTTTGATTAACTGTGGAGCTTAATGTTGACTAAATGAGAATCCAGGCTAGCTAGAAGCCTTAGTTTCTCTGTGGTCTAGTTCACTCTGTGGTCTAGTTCGAAGACTTTCTTGAAAAACTTCTTCCTGCATAGCTTAGACTCTCATCTATTTAAAAGGGAGCTGTTTATCCCTCTCAACACAAGCATGATTTAAATTCGTTATCTTTAACAAATAAAGGTGAAACATGCTAACGAACAACTAACTTAATTTGAAATTATCATAAAAAAAATCAAGACATAAGTAAGAAGCCCAAGAGAAAAAATCAAAAAAAAACCTTGTAAAGGCTAAATGTTTCTAGGCTTAAATTATTTAAATATATTGTTCAGCTCAACATTTTCTTTATTCGCAACAGTATGTTAAAGTTAATTTAATCTTATTTTATTCACAATAGTATGTTAAAGTTAATTTAATCTATTTAGGATTTTTACCTTTGTTTTCTGATTCTTCATTTCTTCCAATTACCCTTCAACATGTGTATTTCCTCAATTTCCTTCTTTCCAAATCATCCAAAGTTATCATGTTTCTCAATGAATTTTTTTCTATGGTTCCAAATGATAAACGTAGCAATGACACTTGATGCCATTTGTTTTTCCTGAAAGTAAATGAAGCATCAGAGTTAAATTTAAATCACTATTTAATAAGAGTAAATATGTGGATCCATACTTACAATTGACAAAGTTACAAACATATATTACCAAACATTTTGCTCTCCATAAACAAACCTCAAGTGTTTGCAGCTAAAATATTGCTAAAACCCCTCACTACTGGTGTCCTACACGAGAACATAACCCCATTGTGTTTTAACCATTTCAAGGCAATGTTAGACATTTAAATGTATTAAAACTATCAAGTTTTAAAATGTTTCGAGGGACAAAAAAAGTTTTTTCCTTGTAAATGTCACTTTCCATTTAATTCTCAAACAATTATCATTTCTATGAAACATAGATAAATTCATACGCAAATAACCATTCAAAAACTAAAAAATGTCCAGAGAAAAAAAAAACAATGTAACAAATAGTACTAGTAGTAAGAGAGGTCTGAGAATCAACATCAGCATGACCCTTAGCGATGCTTAGGATCCATTTAATATTGACAGGGATCCAGGTCCTGGTAAAAACATAAATCTAGATCAGAATTAAACTCAGTTATATTCTTTCACTAAAACAAAGTAAAAAGTCACCATTATAAAAAATTTCTGTTGTAAAAGCCGTAATTTTTTACCCTCCCCCCCCCCCCCCATGGATTCAAAATATGCATATTATACGTGATTATAGCCATTCTATGAAGTATGGTCGCAGCGCTCGGCCCTATAGCCTATCATAGCTGTTACAATATGAGGATTTTAGACCACCACCCCACCCCCCCCCCACCCCCTTCAACAAAAAGGCCCAAAAATTCTTTACTAGGAGATCACGCTTTGTGTTACTATCAAATAGGTTGTTCAAAATTACAGGAGGAAAGAGGGATAATTTCCTAAAGAACGATTTATGGACCCCCCACCCCCTGCATAAAAAATGATATTTTAAAGGTGATATACATTGATCATGTGACTGCAGTGCCCGGTCCCCTTATCCGTCAAAAACCGCAGCTCGGCCCAGAAATTGTCTTACCCTAACCTAACCCTGAAATGACACAAAATAAACAGTAATTTAGTTGATAAATATTGATCATGGGGAGCGGAGGGGGCAGGCGATACAAAAATCCTATACCAGGAAAATACCTAAATGGGAAGTAGTAGGAGTTTTCTCTTAAAATTAATCAGACAATTTATTGACAAAGTTCATCTGGTATATTCCTAGTATACGATTTTTGGACCCCTGTCCAAAAATCGTATACTAGGACAGACCCGTTCATCTTTAGGTTAATAAAAGAATTATTTTAAATAAGCACCTGATAAAGCATTTAACAAAGAACATTATCCTGTGAGTGAAATTACAATTATGTCCTGTAGAAAAACTTGTCACTTGCAAGTTGCAAGTAATTAGGTACGCGGCATTCAAACAACCAGATTATGTCGTCTTACATAAAGTCAAGTTAATCAATGAATTCAGAAAAAATTCTTATCTTCGAAAATAGAAACTTAATTTGTAGGTTAAAAAAGAGAGGATTTTCCTTTCTGAAGGCTAAATTGGACTCCCCCCACCCATTTGTTTACATCTTTGGTTCAGATTGTATTAAAAATGTTATCTTGTAATAAAAAGACGACATTATAATCCGTTCTAAAATTTGATTGGTAAAATTCCTTCAAGTCTTTTTCTGATTGGTCGATCGAAACTTTTGTTTATTGTAAATATTCAGTCAGCTGATTAGTGAAATGTTGAAATTTTAATCTCAAATTTCTGGAAAATCACATCGATCCAAACTGGATTATTATGTTAATGTTTTTTAAGGTTCCGTCCTTAAGAACGATTTTTGGACCCCCCCTCCTATCAATTTTGTACATGGCCACTTTGTCAACAATTTTCAATTAAATTAGTATTTATTTAGGGTTAGGCATGGGTTAGGTTAGGTTAAGACACTTTCTGGGCCGAACGCTGCGGCTAGGACAAGCTAGGGGGCCGAGCGCTGCGGCCACATGTCTTACATTTAAGATCCATGTACTAAAGTGATAGGAGCCACGGCCGGTTTAAATTAAATTAAGACACTTTCTGGGCCGAGCGCTGCGGCTGGGACAGGCTAGGGGGCCGAGCGCTGCGGCTAGATGTCTTACATTCAAGATCCATGTACAAAATTGATAGGAGTGGGGCCGGGGGGGGGGGTCCAAAAATCGTTCTTAAGGAAATTACCTATTTTAAATTTATATCGTTTACCCTGAAATCTTCCAATTTATGTTTAAGTTTAATATTTTCGAATCTTATCCTTCTATAAAAGTATCAGTTTCCGGGAAATTGGTAATTTCCTAGAGAACGATTTTTGGATCCCCCCGCCGCCCCCCCCCTCCTATCAATTTTTTACATGGATCTTAAACGATAAGACATGTGGCCGCAGCGCTCGGCCCCCTAGCATCTCCTAGCCGCAGCGCTCGGCCCCCTAGCCTGTCCTAGCCACAGCGCTCGGCCCAGAATGTGTCTTAACTTCAAACCCGTGGTCGCAGCGCTCGGCCCCCTAGCCTGTCCTAGCCGCAGCACTCGGCCCAGAAAGTGTCTTAACCTAACCTTACCCTAAATAAATACTATTTTAATAGAAAATTGTTGAAAAAGGGGTCATGTACAAAATTGATAGGGGGGGGGGGTACACAGTTTACAAATATATAACATTTAATTTGTATTAATTCAGGTATAATTAAGGATAAGACTATCTTAAAGCCGATTGCTGCGGCTAGTACAGGTTTAACTAATAAATTACAAATCTGAGAAGCGTATGATAAAGTTAATTATTAAGTGCTTAAATGAAAAACTGACATTTGTGGAATCGCGTTTTACCAGTTGCCAGAAAAACTACTTTTTAAGGGACAACAAAAATATGGAAACCAGTAAACTTAAGGGGTCCGTCCTAGTATACGACCCCCTCCCCCCTCCTATCAATGGTACAGTAGGGGTTGGGCATTGCCCCTTTCTAATTAATGGCGAGTCACTTAAAATTATAACGACTGTACCTTTTCAGGCGATGCACAGTCTAATTGGTAATTACAACACCCAAGATCAATTAGATAATTTTCTTTTCAGACATAAATTATGTTCTTCTTGTGTCCGTTTCTATATGTATAATAACATATTCTGAAGATGAAATTTAAATTTATTTTCATAAAAGAAAGTATACCGGAAACTGGCGCTATCAGGTGATACACAGTTAGTTTACAATATCAACTCTTGATAACAATTTCGATTTAAATATGTATTTATGATATTAGAACTTTGCATGTCTTGTATACAAAGTATCCCAATAAAACTAAATTAATTAAAGTTTTAATAAATCGCCCTTGTTCTAAATGTGATCTTTTTCAAAAATTGACAGAGTGGGTTCACTCAGGGGTGTATACTTTGTAATGTATATTTATGGAAGGAGGATGGTTTATGAAGATCTGCGGGGAAGCAAGTTTTTTCTTCCTTGTTCTTTAATTTACGCAGAACTTTATTTATTTTCCGTAAAAATCATTTATATTTCCCATTTTAGCGAATAAAATCCTGAAAAAAAGTTATACACCCCTCGTTTCATACTTTATTTAGAATTCATTTTCAAGGACATCTTATATTTTTTACTAGAAATAGATAAATACTATTTTAGATTTAGAAAAAGATTGATAAAGTGATGTTACGGGATAAAGTTTCTCGGAACCTGGGTGCTTCCAGGAACCCTACTGACCCCAGAAACCCCGGTTTAGTTGTTTCCAGGGACCTTTCTGACCCCAGAAACTCTTCTACCCTAAAGAACCCTGGACTATCCGTCCCCTCCAATAGATCTCTGAATAAAAAGTGGCTGAACTCAGAGCTTAATAGTATAGAAAAGGTAGGAAACCCAGCTTTGCCGGAAACGAAGGTTTACCTTAAAAAGTCAATCGCTCGAGTGTGAGTTCCCAGTCAAAATTTCAGGAAGTAAATATACAGATGTTTTGTGGACTTTCGGGTGGGGGGTGCAAGTTTTTTTTCTCAAAAAATCATTATGTTCTCCACAAATCACTCAGTTCTCCAGTGAACTGAAGAAATATCAACTTTGATTTTCGCTTTTAAGGTAACAGGCTGGCAGATGTCTGGCTCCACCCCCTGGTTGGAACCCGCTCCCTTGTTCTACCCCAGACTAGGATTAGGGCGTGGCAGAGCTCCCTCCTACGAGGCTCTAAAAGGGGCGGTGACTGACCTCTACCGATTAGACGACTTTCAAACTGAAACACTTGGGGAAGGGTTCTTCAGCGATGTATATAAGGTAGAGGATCAGTTTCATATTAAGTAAAAAGACATAAAAATATAAAAGAAGAAAACAAATATATTAATGAATATATAAAAATATAATAATAAAGAAAGAAAAGAAGAAAAATATATTAATATATATATATATACTAGAAATTCAAGGCGCTTCGCGCCCTTCTTTCTAGGCTCTTCGATTTAAATTGTGAACATGTTCTTTTTTTTACATTTTAAAACAAAGAAGAAAATAATTTTGCGGATTTTTAACAAAAAAATCGCGGATTTTCAAGAATTAAATTTTTTTTACAAAATTAAAAACCTTTAAAACACATTTTTTATTGAATTTTTATCATTCATAAACCTTCCCTGTGGTCACGTGATGTCCCACAAAAATTTGGGCCCGATCGGTTCAGCCGTTTTGGCGTTTATTGGATACAAAAAAACAGACAGACAAGCCAAATTTATATATAGAAGATATATATGAGCTTTATGATATAGATACAAATAAACAATTAAATCCATGTAATAAATGAGATTTCATAGGAAAATTAAACGTTATGGGATCAAGTTGGAGTAGTGAAACGGTTGGGGGTCATTGATCCTCAGATTATACTTTCATATTGATCCTTTCACCCGGCGGTGGTCTAAGGGGTTTATATCGGTGGCATTATAAGATTATACTTTCATATTAATTTACTAGGTGACCCACAAAACCACAGGGAAGGTGATGGTGCTGAAGATGAACAAACACAAGAGCAACAGAACTAACATGCTCAAGGAGATACAGCTCATGAACAAACTCAAAAATCCTTATATACTCAGGTATGAGTAGAATGAACTAGGCAGTGGGGTTGGTCTAGTAGGACTAGTCAGGCAAAATAAGGTTTTGTAGATCCCAAAAGTAGGTTTGTAGGTATAAGGAAACTATAAGGAAAAGGAATCTGAAAGAGGTCCCGTTATGAACCCCCCAGACCGCCGGCAGGGATGGGAAGCACCGTCCCACTCCTACTCTAACTGGACCTTTTTACCTACAACAATTAGCCCATTGTCAGAAGATACAAAGGAGATACATTCCAGCCAGTGGCTCATCAATTAGCTCCATTGGATGATTGGTATCTAACAACCCTTTAGGAGAAGTAAAGAGGTTACCCGAATTTAAGCTGTTCCTGCCAAGTCCATCCACCGCTCCAGCAGCAAATTTATCTTTTCGGTCCTTTTCAACAGCACTTCCTTTGAGACATTATCTCCCCCTAACATCCCAGTAAGGATTGCCGTGCTACTGCGTGGCCTCCCTGACATAAGGACTCCCAGCCCTGTTTTAGACCTCTCATAAGCTACTGCTTGACAGGCTACAACAACATGATGCTCCGAAAGGTGGTTAACTATCCCTTTATTTAGGCATAGCGGACACCATTTAGTGGCG